AAAAAAAAAAAAAAAAAAAAAAAAAGAAGTTTGTCAGCCCTTTGCTTCACGCTTTCTGTGCTTTGGTTCGGATTCAGGCAGCGCACTCGGGAGCCGCAGCCCAGCGCATCAGCTGTTGCCATCGCACAAGGCACCTGTGGTTATCCCCGTCTCCCTGGTGGCCTGGTGTTAGCTGAAGATAATTAGATCTCAATTATCACCAGGAAAGTTTTGAGCCTTTTCCCAGTGTGGCTCTGCAGCTGGTCTTAGTGGGAGGCAGGGCTTTGTCTGCTTTTGGGCAGAGCTCGTAGCCCGGGCTGCGGCTCTGATGCCGCTGTTGGGAGAAGGAGCAGGGTTTCTGCTATAAAACCCCCCTGGAGCGATGCATTCCCAATGGGGGCCTGAGGGAGCCCCCCTGAGCCCCCAAACAGGCACCCACTGCCCCTGCCAGGGCACTGAGTCTGCCTGGGCACCCTGCGAGAGGGACGGTGTGCTGGGACCAGCAGTGCCGGGAGGGGAGGCCGCGATGTGCCGGGCACCTCTGGTCCCCCCAAGCTGCCGAGTCGCGGGTGCAGAGCCCGTGGTTGGCTCCCGAATCGCCCCCAGTTGGCTCCTGAATCGCCCGGTTGCTTTTTCCCTGACCTCTGAGTCACCTTGAGCCGTGCTGGCTGCAGGCGTTGGCTCTGCCATGGGGTGCCGTGAATACTAAGGAGACAGGAATATGAAACTTCACCTCCGTGGCGGGGCTGGATCGGGGTCAGCGCTGCCAGCGGGCACCAGGCAGCTGCACACACCCCAAAACTGGTCTGTGCTGCAGGGGGGTGGGCCCGGAGGGACAGAGACGTGTCCACAGTTCCTGCTCCTGCTGTCTCCTCTGCTGGCCTGGGGCTCCTGTTTGCTGTCCCTCTCATCCCCATTTAATCCTTTTGGCCCAGCAGTGGCATGTCTCCGTCCCGCTCCTTCACTCTGCTCTGTCTCCCAGGCTCCCTCCCTCCCTCTTTCCATTTCTTTCCAAGCCCTCGGTCTCTCCCCTCCACCGCTCCTGCAGATTCATTGTGAATTTTGGCAGCGCTGTCTCTGACCTTGGCTGTCTCCCTCCTCTCTTTGCTCCTGCGCTGGCAGCATAAATCTTGGCTGTTTCCACCTCTCCTCCCCTTCCCTCGGTGCCAGCCCCCAGCCCCACGCTCAGCTGGCTCAGGATGAGGCTGGGGGCAGCTTTTGGGCTGCATTTCCCCCCCCCCAGAGGCCATTTCCCAGCTCCCATCCAGCCAAGGCAGTGGGACCCCGCAGTAGCACCCCGAAAGCAGGATGCGTCCCTCCACCTCCTCCCTCGCAGGTCTCCTCTCGAGCGTCTCTGCGGGACTGGGGGTGCAGGAGTGGGGCGCGCACAACCCTCACCCCACGCCAGAGCAGGGCACGGACCCAACCGCCGCACCGGCTGCCTCCACACTCATCCATACACGAGTGGCTCTGCCTCTGCCCCCCAAATCCCCAGCCTGGCGGGGTCCCTGCCTGCACACCCCTGGGCGCATCGGCAGCCACAGGCCTTGGGTGCTCCGAGATGGAGGATTCAACCACGGCTCTGCCTAGGAGCGGCGTTTCCATTTTTCCCAGGGAATTTGGTGATGGCGGAGGCACCAGGCCCCTCTCCTCCCCGCCCTGCTCCCGCCTGCCCGTCTGTTGGCAGGGATGTGCCTGCCTGCTCCAGATCCGTCTTTTCCTGCTGATTCGGGACAATCTGTGTCCCGTGACCTACTTGTCTCCGAGCATCTTCCGCCTTCCCGCCGAGTGGGTTGATACTAAAGCCTCTCTAAATGTGGTTAACGTGTGTGTCGGGATGCACTTACATTTATTTTTAATTCGTCTTTTTTCTCAGCCCACTTCTGGATGCATCCCTGGGGACGCTGTGCAGGGAAAGCCGCTGCATTTCGACGCAGCGCCATGAGAGCAGACGGATGCAACGAGCAGGGGTGGGGGGGCGGTTGCAGCACTCCCAACCCTCACCACAAACTTAAAATATAATAAATCCACGTGTAGCCCCGTCCCTGACATGACAGAAGGCAACGGGAGCCCTCGGCGGGTCGGTCCCTTTTCGGGTAGCGAGGGCGTCGCAGTGGGGAACCCGCAAACCCATTTTGCCGAGCTGAACCAATAATTAAAGAAGACAGGAAACCTTCCCAGGGCACCTTGGAGAAACGTTTGGGTTTTTTTTTAAAAAAAAAAAGTGAGAAAATGGCTACAAGTTAACCAGAGGTTAATTTTTAACAGAAATCTTAGAGTTTAAGGAGGGAGGTGTCCAAGGAAGGATGATGTCGCCCGTGGTTGAGCAGCCTGGGGGGGGCCCTGCCAGCGCCTGGGTGGGTGCTGAGCCCCTCCCGCCCTCAGCCTGGCCCCCTCAGAAAACGCAACTGCACCCCTTTATCTGTGCCTGCATCCCCCCTAAACTCTCTGACCCTTTCTGGCCAGTTTTAGTTCTATTTGACTTCAGAGAAAGTCCCTGCCTGAGTCACAAAACGGGGGGGTAGGAGACTCCCACCTGCGGTCCCCCCACGCAGGACAAGGCCCCGGTCCCGTGGAGCTGCAGGATTCACGGTGTGAGGGGGGTGCCAGGGCTCAGGGCACAAAGCAGGGGCACTGGTCCTGCCCCCCCCGGCAGTGGCAGCACCCAGCGCGGCGGCGGTTTCGCTCGCGGGGAGGCCGGAGAGACCTTCCCGGCAGCTTCGGGCGCCCACCTGCCGTGGCTCAGGATTTTCGGGCGCAGCCCCGTCTGCGGGCGCGCTCCAGGGGCAGAAACCTCCCGTCGCCCTGCCAAGGCGCCCGCGCGTC